TAGAAGTTCATGATTTAAAAGTGATGTGAATCTTTATGATAGCTATTCTTAAAACATTAGCTCGATTTAGAATCACCAAAAAGACACACCGCTGGTGTGTCTGTAAAGTGTTTTCATTGCAAATTAACTGAGAATGGAAGACCCATTCTGGATGTTCACATTACCATCCCATGGGAAATAGTCCTAACTGAATAGAAAAAGAAAAACGGGAATAAAATCAGGAAAATCAGTTATTAAAGTTATATAACAATGTTTGAGTCTACTAAATGAATAATTACTGATATACACCATAAATTTAAGAGAAATCCATGAAATGTTAGGAAAGATTTTAAATAAGTAATGCAACATAATTTTCCAGAGCAGTTATTTTAATAATTCTCATCAATATCTTGCCTTGTAGAACAATCAATAATAGAATAACCAAACTATGTAGACAGCAAAGATATCACCGAGTGCATAGAAATTTGTTAGAAAAAAGAAATACTGGTTTTTCAAGACAGGATTTCTCTGTGTAGCTTTGGAACCTTTCCCAGCACTATCTCTGTAGACCAGACTGGCCTTGAACTCACAGAGATCCTCATGCCTCTGCCTCCCAAGTTCTGGGATTAAAGGCTATGTTACCACCTCCTGGCTGGACAGGTGATTTTTAGAGCAGTAAAAATATACTTCATGATACCAAAATGGCAAACAACATTGCCTAAACATACAGACTGTATAACATCAAGGGTGAAACCTAATGTAAACTGGGGACCATAGTTATGGTGTGAAAATGTGAGCTTATCAGTTTTAACAAGTACACCACTCAGGTGTGGAATGCTGAATTCTAAGCATATATAGGGTCAGGCATATCTAGGAAGTGCTTTGAATGCCTCTGATTTTCACTATGAACCCAAAGTTTAGTTTAAAATATTATCTAAAGAAATCAGGAAAATAAATCCGAATGTTGTATCGAATATTATAAACAGAATAATTTCCTTGGACTTACAAATCTTTACAACTTCTCTACAATGACTGTTGCCATTATATTCAAAAAACTACAAGCTAAATTTAAAACATGAAATAAAATTTAAGATTATAGCTTTGAATAATCTGTAAGGGTCCCATATTTCAAAATGGATGTTCTAAAAGATGTAATTGATCATAGATTCATTTGATTTAGGCAAAGCTTGATCCAAAATAAATCCTCCATATAATAAAAGATCTTTGGCAAATGTTTGCTGAAAGCCACAAGAGTGTATGAGTGAGTATTCGCTCAAAGATTGCTAGAGATCAATATATGTTTTTATTCCTTGATGATCGTTAAACAACACATGCTTCATAACAGTTTTTCCTTACTGAGAAGTGAAAATCTGATCATTCCTTTGACAATTTCTCTGCAGGACCTGGGTTGTGACATTTCACCTTATAGATCTTTAGATAGTGAGCCAGGACAAATATCCCAAAACAAAAAGAAAGAATAACTAATCTCTTATATATGCTGGGATGAAAAATACAAGGTTTTTATTATAAGAATCAATTGTACTAATTAAAGTAGTTACTATGTTAGACTGTAAGTTTATTGTTCTCTTCAAAATAATAATTTAGGTAGAATCTCTAACTTTGTTGTTTATGCAAACATAATTTTAATAAAATGTATTGACTACTTCATCAATATGTATTGTTACCAAAATGCTGTAAAAATTGTAGATAGATATATTAGGCAGGAGATGTATTATTAATATAGACTACTGCACAATACTAGGAATATGGGGAACTCTACCAAAGTCATTTCACAAATGAAAATTTGAAGCATACTAAATTTCCAAAGGAAAACATTCATTTGTAGCTATGTTTGGTAATTATACTCAAGGGATTCCTTTCTGTAACTTTGTTTCCTAGTTTTTATAGAAGGCTGTGTTATCACAACACAAGAGAAGACAGAAAAAATTGATTGTAAGGTCCCTTGCAAACCAAGAATGTTACATGAATTCTAAATGTAGCTAATAAATAAGAAGAATATATCTCTCAAAATATTAGTCAATCTACTGATCTATTTTAAAAAGATGTAGAGTAAGAGGTTTCTCAAGTCTGACAAGTCCGAGTTTACATCTCAGTTCCTTTGCTTTGTATCCATTTGGGTGACTTGCTAAACCTTTCTGGCTTTTTGAAAAATACTCATAATTGTCTTATCAATGAATTAGACAGAGTACCCTTTGTAAAATTTAGTGCATATAAATCATACACTAAACCATCACAAATTTTACTTCCTCTTTTCTGAATGACAAATTTACCTTAACAATAGTTTAAAATGACAAAGATAATGCAGTCACTCAATAAGATAAATGTTAGAGGCATTACCCTACAATTCCTAGTTGATTGAAATTCTTAGTGTAGACATTAGACTATCTTGTAGACATACACAATTCTTAGGTGCTCTAAATGGTAGTGAATTGGGAGGAAGAATTCTTGTTATGTAATAATGAGCAGGCACAAGCTGATCATTGGTGGTGAACACCTTTAATCCCAGCACTCAGGAGGCAGAGGCAGGTGGATCTCTGTGATTTTGAGGCCAGCCGGGTCTACAGAGTGAGTTCCACAACAGACTCCAAAGCAATACAGAGAAAACCCTCTCTCAAAAAAACAAAAACCAAAAAAGGAGCCTTTTTCTCCTTGTAATAGCTAAGAATGAACTTGTTTGTATTCAAAACTAATGTGGAAAGTGTTTCCAATCTGAAGGTCATCCTTGGATTCTACAGTGCTTTATAATTTGGATTTTTCATATATATGTATATATATATGAGACAGATATAAAAGTGTAATTAATATATATACCCTATACACCATTGCTAAGAAATCCAGGTCGAAGTACTCAATTTTAATTCTATCAATTTCAGTCAATACATTTATTATCTTTGGACAAAATCTGCACATAGTGATGCTCTTTCTGAAGGCTTCTTCAACTTGTTTCGTGTTACTGTACTTTCTATAGTTGCAATGATATATTATTTATGACTTACTAAAGCTAGCCCAAGGATTCAGAAAGCAAAGCCAGCCTTGAGCTACAGAGGTCTGGTGGTGGTGGTACATATCTTTAATCCCACCACTTGGGAGGTAGAGGTAGACAGATCTCTGTTAGATCAAGACCACACTGAGTTACATGAAATATACCCAGTCCCAAAGAGAAACAGCTCACACAAAGATGATCTCAACATTTTGGATCACACCTTTAATCCCAGGACTCATGAGAGGCATTTAAGACAGGAACAGGATCTCAGAGCTGTCATTCATTCTCCAGCTACACTGAGGACAGAGCAGCATTCTCAGTAAATTGGCTCCATTGGCAACAGATACATGTGTGCAAAGACTATGAAGTTTGCTTCTCCTTAGGAGAGGAAAACAACAATAATCAAACAAACCAGGAAATGGTGTTTCTGAGCTATTAGCTCTTTAATCTCTGCTTCTAATTGGGAGGTGACAATCTGCACCCCTTTTATCATTCTCTTAGTGAGTTTACAATATCCCCACAGCATTTTGTACATATGTCTATCACAATCCCCTTTATATATTTAAATGCTTTTCTAACTGCCTCTTCTTCGACAATATGTATCACTAAGCTACAGAGGTAACTTTCTATTCTCTTTAGTCCTATACCCATTATTAAAGGTATTACCCTCAATATGCTGTTTAAGATATTACAGTTAATGTTAACTATCAGTTTGATAGGATTTTCAATAACCTAGGAGACAGGCCAGACCAACAGCCACAGCTGTGAGGGATCATTTAGTATCTAGTGTTCCTGTGAGGGTTCATGTTAATCCAGTTTATTAAGGTGTGAAAATTCACACTAAGAGTACGTGGCGCCACTCCACTACCTGAACTTGGCTCTTAGAAATACAAAAAGTATGGAGATGGCTGAACATAAGCATTCATTGCTCTCTGCTTCTTCACTCATGTACAAGGTAAATGGATGCTTCAAGGTACTGCCACTGTCAATTCTCCACCAGGAGGAACTATAACTTCTAACTATGAGTCAAATAATAACCCTTTACCTTTAAGTTGATTTGTTCGCTGTGTTTACACACAGCAGCAGGAAAGAAACTCATAGAGATAAGTACGTGCTAGACAAACTAGAAGTTCATGCTTCATACAAGGACTGCAATTCTCTCTCAGCTGGCTGTTTGAAGCGAGTGGATACATAAAGTGGTCAGGAAAAGCAGATATGCATCACCAACTTGTAACTGCCTAAGGACCTTTCCAAAGCTGATGGAAACGATTGTTAGAAGTCCAATGCAAGCCTGCACTGCCAGAGGGCTAGCATTCCAAATACGAACCATCAACAAGTGACTGACAACAGTTGATGTGTAACTGTTCCTTTGCTCTAGGATGGGTTGACTTGGGGATTTGTGTCCTACTGAAGATTTTCAGTTTTTTTTTAGTTTCTTACACACAGGAAGTGCTAACTTGACTCCTTAGCTACTCTTTCTTCTCAGTGGTACTTGCTTGTTCCTGTCCTGCTGTTGTTTCTTGTACCTCCCCCAAGACTTGTTTCTATGCAAGTACTCTTGGGTTTATTTATAATACAAATTCAGTCTGTGCCTGAACCAAGATGGGCAATCAAATTTTTGGAATTGAAGCAATGCATTTTTTCTCTTAAACACATATATGCATACGCAAGGGTGGGGAGGTGGGAGAGTAAGGGATGGCAAAGGAGATGTAAATAACCAGACCGTAAAGCTCTCCGAACAGCCAGCCTAGGCCCAAAATGGTGAGCTCTAAGTTCAGTGACAGACTCTATTCCAAAAAACATACTGTAGTAATATAATAAATCAGAGTGTGCAACATCCTTCACAGGCGATAGCACCTGCACCTGCATGCACACACGCACACACACGCACGCACACACACGCACGCACACACACACACGCACACACGCACACACCTCACAGGCTTGTTTTCTTTTTAATTAATTATAGGGGTGCAATAATTTTTCCTAATTAAAACATTCAATTTCATTTGCTCAGTGTATGTGGGTATGTCCATGAGTGTCAAGGTGAATATGTGGAGATCAGAGAACAGCTTCGGGGAATCAGTCATCTCCTTCCATCATATGGACCCTTAGTATCAAACTCAGAACAGGCTTGGTGGTGAGTACCTTTATCACTCGACCATGTGGTCAGCCTTGATTTCTCTTTCTCTTTCTTTGATGCTTTTCCAAAGCACTGCTAACAAATGTGAAGATAAATTCCACAAGAAAACCTTGTGCTGCTTTATTTTCTCATTTGTCTACTCATTTAACAAGTCTATTTCATTTCTAGGTGCCAACAGTAGCACTAGGTAGGCATGAGAAATGTAACACATATGAGATTATCCCTTCAAGATAGGTGTTCACAGCAGGAAATCAGAGTGGCCAGTTAGGACAGGGCATCCAGAATTATTATGAAATAACAGAGTTCTGTGATAGCACATGGGGAAATACCTAACCCAAGCTTTCAATGTATATTTTGTTGTCCCCTAAGGAAAATATGGAGTTTAATTTGATGAAAATGTCTTATCACTTATTTTCTCTAGCCACAGTTAAAGAATATGCCATTCTTACCCTTCATAATTTGATCCTATTCCATTATCTTACTAATTCCCACACAACTTTTAAGTCATGTGCTTTGTCTATATAGTATGGCATTCTCATACCACCAAACTGCCTACTCTAACAAGAAAGTTCCATAGCATTCCGCAAATAGAGAGGATTTAACAGCCACACCCAGTATTACAACTGTTTCCTCTGCGTGAGTTGGAGATTCTTAGGGTCTTCACTGTAACAAAGCTGGGCTTCTTCATGATAACCCTTTACCAGTGATGCTATTTTATTCCTGGTGTTAAATCAGTTTCTTTATACCTGTTGTTGGCTTCTCATTATTGGTCTTGTTTTCTTCAACTTTTACCTTTATTAATTTTAAACCTACATTTCCATGATCACATTCTGTCCTGCTCCTCTGATTGACACCATGATTTGGATTTGATATGGGGTTTGCCCGCAGCACACCTGCAGGACACCATTTCACACCTTTCCGTGTTAGGACAGCAAAAAAGGAAATTCTGTCTGTTTGCTCACCCGCACTTCTTAGCTCATTTCTCCCCAAGAAAAGGGGGGTTAGATAAGTCGTTCAGTGAGATATAGACATCATTCCACTGAATTCAAGATTTTCAAGGTGACTGTTTTAAATGTAGTCAATTTTACAGTGGAAGTCAGTTTGGGAGTATTATCTAATAGGAAAAAATCTACTTCACATATACTTTTCTAGCTATGTTTGTATAATGCTTTCCTCAAAAATATTGTATAGGATTCACAGATGTGGGGGTGGTATTCTGGGCCCAGGGAAGGTTTATATTATATTCTGTATCATTATATTATAGATATTGATTTTGGTACATTCATTACATAATTTTGCTTATTTACAAGGCATAGAGAGTCTACCTACAATTTGCAGCTTCTGTCCTTTCCAATCAACATCACAAACCTGAAATTTCCATCTTTTTTATTTGCAGGGGGAGCTGCATTTGAGAGGGTATCTCAGGCTGGTTTAAAGCTCTCTGTGTAGACATGAAGGACCTTCTGTGGCCAATTCTCCTTCTACCTCCCAAGTGCTGTGATCACAGGCCTGCAATTTCTTTTCATCTATCACTTCACTAACTCCCACAGGTGGTAATGAAAGATAGTAAAAGAGAAAGAAATTAAACTCACAGGATAACGTTTTCTCAAACATTTTCAAGTACTTTGCTTTCTGCTGACAGTTTGTAGGGTTCTGGAGAAAGATAGATGTCCTACAATTAAATCCTACTCAACTCCTGACTTTCTTGGAAAACAACTTTTCTCTCCATAGGATCTTTATACTCCATTTGCCAAAAACCTATTTATTCTTTAATGGGAAATGTTGCCATTTGTGCAAAGAATCTCCAGTGGCTTTCTTCCCTTCATACACTTCAGCAAATGTTCTGGCCAGTATTTTGTGATGCTGAGTTATAAGAGTAAGCATTCATATGGCACACATTTTGTGCCCCTCATTGTTATATGCACAATATTAACTTAATTCCACCACTCTCCTTTCAAGCACTTTAATTCTCACAACAATTCTATCTTAGTAGACAGATACTATTATCATCCCAGTCTTAACAAGGAAAATGAGCCTAAATATGAGAGAAGTTAAGTTTTCAATGGCAAGTTCACAGATGTTAATCAGACCAAGCAATTTTTCCCCATGAATTGAGTGACACACATGAAGGCATGATATGACTGGATATTATTATTCATTAACATATTAAATAATAGGGCCAGGACACTGGCTACATGCCAGTTACTGTACTTAGTTTTTAATTCAGGCAGTGACAGACCAATGGAAAGCAGACAAGATGATGCTGTCAGCAGTTTCCTCTCCTTGGCATATAAATTCTGAAGAGGAAGAGTAAGCTTGGTCAGTTCATGAAAGCCCCATGTGCACTGCCAAGTAACTAAGACTTCTCCCAATGTGTTTAAATAGGGGAATGAGAAGCTGACTATGTCTGCCCATACAGTTCATAGAGTGTTCCATTCTTCTTAAACATACAAGGTACTTAGAACCTATTATGAATTTTCTTAGGACCTAATTAAAACTGGGTTTGCATTAAGCACCTATAAATTCCTAAATGAGCAACAAGATCCACTCCTGAGTCTTTGGAGGCTCTGTGATGTCTAAAACACTTTATGCTTAAAAGTATTTAGTGATGCATGTAGAATTGACTTTGTCTTCCTAATTTGAATCTAACTCCTCCCTACAAACATCTGTCTTTTCTTGCATTAGCAGATTAAAGTGTAGGGGAAATGTACCAACATACTGACATTTTCCATTTGTATTAGGTCATGCAAAAATCACACACCCCCAAGACTACATCTCTTGAACACAATTTAATCAGTGCATTTTCAAAAGCCCAGGGCATATCCTATCACACAGGAATTGGAAAACACTGTAACTACAGAACACGTTGCGTTTCTTTAAGTTCTATAAGGAAAATATAATGTGTTTGAGCAAGGAGATATATATCTGTGTACATGTGTATGTCTTGAAGTCATCAGTAAAGCATGAAAACTACTTTATTATACTCAACTAATTTTTAACAACTATATATACTTTTCAACTTATATCCTACTGAAAAAAAGAAATGTAAATAACTCATGTAAGGTCGTTAGTCTTGTAGGCTAATCAACACTGATTTAAGGCTAAATTCTTACAGCAGTCAAAAGATTTTTTCTTTGGAAAAAGAAATATATCATGTTCTGCTTTCTCTCACAATGAAATATATTTTTTCTATTCTTTCAAGCATTGCTTTTTTTCTCAATCCCTTTTATTCTGAGCACTTAGACCCAACTAACTCTATTCATCCGTAAAGTAATCTGAACACATTTTAAAGGACATTAACAAATATTCCCATAATGCAATTAGTGCCCTTCAGCATGAATGAGATTCAATATTCACTCTATAGGGGCCTTGAACATCACCTGACTTATTGCTGACACATCTATCTTACAATGGAAGGACTCTGTGGAAATGTATAGTTGGCCAGTACTATTTGCAGAACAGCATTCATCCCATAAAACAACGTCATTTTAACCTTCAAAAGTGAAAAGTGTTTTTGTACAATGATGAAATTGATTGTATTATCCTCATCTATTTTTATCATAGATGCTATTCCATCTAGATTAAATCATAGAGAGTCAAAAATCTACTGCATAGTAGATTGTATCTTTCTTCCTACCACAGTAGACATTTTCCATTTATTTAAAATTTTCATGATTTTTCCTATCACTTCTGTTTCTCTTCTCCATCATCATATGCCAAGGACTCATCCAGGTGCAAGAGTCAAAAGAGTGAGCAACTGGTTTGGTACAGGTATTAATTAATTAATTAGAAAGGATGCTCTTGAATAAACCAAATTGTTGTGTACCCACAGCTTAGTACCTGGCACAGAATGGCAAACACAGTAAGTCATTTGCAAATTACTGCCAAATAAATAGATGGATGAGCAAATTAACTAACTTGCCAGACAAAGCTACCTTGCATCCAGTTTTGAATTATTCAATAATTCAATAGTTTAATTTTATTCAATCAATCACTTTATGAATCCTGTACAGTAAGTCCTTTTAAAAAGTTAGTTAAGTATTGAATAAGGGAAATGGGAAGAAGAGTAAGTACAAAAAAAAATCTGTATCTTCACAATGCTTAACATCTAGCATAATAAGAAATAAGATACCTTCATACTTATATAACAATACAGAAGTAAACAGTAATTTTTCAGGGCAACTGAGATTCAAAGTAGATTTCTTGGATTCCCAAAGGAAAGAGACACACATACCATGTAAAGTGCAGACTTTGAAACCACAAAGCTCTGAGTTTGAATCTCAGCTCCAGCATGAATTTGGTGGGTAGCCATGATAAATTATTAATCAATTTTCATAATTATTTTCTTCTAAATATAAAAACAAAATATTATAATATACATAATACAATATTTTACATAGTGGATATTTTTCAGAGATTATTCTTTATCACGCATGAAAGCTTAATGTGTATTAAATTGGAATATGGAATGTGGCTAATCATAAAAAGTCAATTATTAAACAGAAAGTAAAATATGATCATAAAATTTAGATTAGACACATAAAATACTGTTGGAGTCAGGAAAATCCAGAAATAAGAGTTATCATGTGACTTGCTAGTTCTGTGTGCTAGATTAAGGTGTCTGATTTAGTCAAATCTCCAACTTTCTTCATCTATACAGTGGAGTTACACAGGATATAGTAGATTGTGTGAGATGAAATGGGAAAAAGTGATTGCCACGTTGTACATGGAGAACTTCAAAGAACTCTTAGCTAATAGGATAAAAGTCATTACTTCCCATTTGAAATCTAGACTCCAAACTGATGAAATTTTTGCCTTCTATAGAACCACTACCAATTTTTTTATTTAAACTATATCATAGGATTATTCATATCTTTAGGAAACTTGAATGGAATAAAATAACATATCAGATACGACAAATACAAAAGTCCCAACTTCAGATCTTTGAAAATGTTAAGTATCTGGGAAAATCAAGCTACCACAGGCATTGCCATGAGCAATGCTGTTCAGGGCATTTCTGTATCTGAATTACTAAAAAGATGCTAAGATAATGATGTAAGCAAAATACTGGGAATAATTTTTAGTATTAAGTTTTGCCACTTCTCAACAAAGTTTTCCTTGGCCAATTAACCAATCATACACATCTGTAAATTAAAAGTGTCAATTCTTTTTAGTGGTGTACATACATGTACACACACACACGCACATACACATACACATACACACACACAGACCACATTTCTGGCTCTGTTATCTGGGCTACCATATTATTCTATGGCTTACAACTTTTTTGCTGTATTTGCTTTTACTTTTATGGTATTTAAAAGTACTGACAATATATTATGAAGCATTTAATTGTACATGATCTATTAAATATCATGCTAACAGTAAGTTCATTTTTCATGATTGTACATAATTAATTACTATATAATGTCACTCCAGAATAAAAACATAGACTTTTAAAATGGTGTAATTTGATAAGATAGTAGAGGATTTTTAAAATTGAGATAACTACTTGGGTTCCTCACAAGGCTATGCAGTTACAAGAGTATTTTGCAAAATCAAAAATAATTAAATTATACTGTTACATAAACAATAAGAAGAGCTCAGAGTGAAAAGCTATAAGGTATATTACTATAAACATGGGGTAGAAACCTTAAGCAGTCAAAGTTTTAAAACAATTTGTCTCAGAATTCTTAGAGATACATGTGGAAAGCCTTACATTCTATTTGTCTGAACCTCTTTCCATTTGGCTTGTGCAAATGTGATACACGATAACTGATAGCCCTTTCTGTGTTCCTTGGTGATTGGTAATCAAAACATTAAAGATCTTTAGGCAACTGCTTTAGTGTATTTTATTATCCTTTTTATTAATTGCCATATTTTCCAAGGTATAAAGTCATATGGATTTTGACACAATTTTAGATCATATAATCATTGAAACTATCATTAAAGAAGATAACAAGTGTGTCCTTTATACCAGCAGTTTCCTCCTATCTGTGATCTGTCTCCTTGTCCAATCCTCCATCACTAATAATCGCCGAGCTGACTGCTGTTTTTAGAGTTTCCTGTTTATGGAATGTTCTATGAGTGGAATTATATCCTATGTACTCTAGTTTCTTTCAGGAACTCATTTGAGAGTGATATGTGTTGTTTTGTGTATCAATAATTCATCTTTACAGACTGAATTAAAGTATTCTGTTGGGGAGATGAACCATCATTTATCCATTAATTACTCAGTGGACATCTGGTGTCCTTCCAAATTGACCATTACTGACAAAGGTTCTATAGACATTTGTGGGCATTTTTCAATAGTCTTGAAATGAATGTGTAGAGATGTTCCTGTGGGTTTCTAGTACGTATATGTCTAACTTTATAAGAAGTTGTCATCTGCCTTCCAGAGTGTCTGAACAGTTCTGCCTACCAACAGCAATGTGTGTAAATAGCCTTCATAATCTCTATCAGCATTTGATGTTGGCCGTTTTTGTTCTTTTCCTTCAGTCATTCTAAAAGTCTGTAGTTGCATCTCATTGTGATTTTGATGTATTTTTAATCTTAATACAAAAGAATAAATATTTGAGACATTTATCTACAGTTTTTACTATAATATAATGTTAAAATTATTTCACTGCACTGTCATGAAATTTATTCATGTGTTTAGTAAATCCCTCTTCTTAAGTGTAACATCACACTTCTCATCTCAGGGAGGTCTCCGCTCAGCTTTCTTCATGACATAACAGATCTTTCCCACTAGATGGCAGCTGCTCAATTGTTTGGAACTGCCAGGTAGCTAAATCTAAGGACTTAGTTGTATAACAAAAGGATAGAGTTAGTCTGTAAACTGTGAAATGTTTTCTTCTTTGATTAGAAGAGAAGGAAAGGGGGAGGACAGTTCACTGACTGCCAAGTTGGAGTTCATTGTATCCTAACGTGTGTGCTTTTAAAGTAATTTCAATGTAAAATTGAAGCTACCAAATATATCCAATACAACATGCAAAAATACAATAGCTCAGTTTCTTTTGAATGTAAACCAGAGACATTATCTGGTCAGCAAATAGTGTTGCAAACATATTCAGAAACACTATCTAGTTTCTTTACACATATTCTATATTGAAATTGTACAAAGAGCTCTATAATTTAGAGAATATCCTTGGAAATATAGATGTTTGTAAGTTTTGAAATATGAAGCCTATGCATTTTCTGCAATAGCTAGAGCCAAACTCAAACATTGGTTAAGGTTTGTTTATTTATTTTTTGGTTATTTTGGTTCCATATAAAGACCCCTCTCCAAATTGATTTTATTAACTAATACAATATATACTAAGTTCCTATTTTGTACCAAGCTTTCAGATACACATACTAAGAGTCAGGCTGCCTAAAACATGATTTCATACAAAGAAAATATAAATAATAATAATTGTTGCTATTGCACTATGAGTGCCAAGGGATGTTATCATACATAAACATCTTATTTACCAATTACTGGTATAACCTAAAAAATTTATATTCTCTATATGGCAGAGGTGGTACTTGAGCCTCTGTACCAAACCGGTTGCTATAACTGACATGAAAACACAGCAAACAGCAGAGACAGCTGATCTGAACAGGGGGAGCTCTTGGACCCCAGACCGACAGCTGGGAGACCAGCATGGAACTGATCCAGACACCCCAAATGTGAGAGTCAGTTAGGAATCCTGGGCAACCTATGGGGTCCTGGGCAGTGGATCAGTGTTTATCCCTGGCATACAAACAGACATCGTGTGTCCATAACACAAAGAGGGATGCTCTCTCAGCCTGGACTCTTAGGGGAGTGCCTGGACCCTGCTCTGAGTGAAATGACAGACTCTAGATATCCCCTATGTGAAAGGAAATGGTGATAGGGTGGGAGCCTGGGGGGGATGGTGTGGGGGTGCGGGAGGAGGGGAAGGAGAGGGAACTGGGATTGACATGTAAAACAAGCTATTTAAAATTAAAATAATAAAAAAAACACAGCACACAGACAGTGTAGACTTCAGATGTTATTGACAGTTAATCTTTGGAGATGTTCCTGTGGGTTTCTAGTACGTATTCATGTGCCATGAAATGAAACTAAATATTTATTTCTGTGCCATTAGTGGTGGGCAATTTTCAAGAGTTAATGGCTTCCACAATTGCACATGCAACATTTACAGATGTTTATAGAGCAGAAAGTACCAGAAGAAAGAAAGGTCTAAGAGAGCAGCTGGATGGATGACAGAGCCAGAAAGCAGGAGACATACTTATAAGAACAATAACACTAAAGACATTTTTGAAAATTGATATAGAAACCTACTTCCTTCCTTCCTTATATGTTTTCTGAAATATATAATACACATATATAAAAGTAATTAAACAGTGTTACCTTATAAAGGGGAAGAAAATGCCCCTATAAGATATCACCAGCAATAAAAAGCTCACTGCCAGGAACAGTTGACTTGTTTGAACTTTCAGGCTAGTGAGTCTCTTAGACATCACTATGCCCCCTACATTCACACACACATTATAGGCTATTGTCATTGCTCTTGATCACCTTCTAGAATTTCATGACAAGAACTGTCACTGAAGGCATTGTATTCCTCTATCTGTGTGCCACACAACATGGAGAAATCAAACTGGTATGAACGTGGAAACTTCATCCCTAATTTCATACTGATAGAGAAATAATCATATCTTATCCAACTACAAAAACTACTGTTCTGGCAAGACAGTGGTGCAATCATCGCATGAATGTCATGGGATCAACCCACCACTTTCTTATCGTATGTAAGAACTGTTCCACAAGGTGGAACTTACATCTTATACTATTCGTGGGGCCAAGAGCCTCTTTACAGATGACTCATAAATCATAGCAAACATCCTATTATTATTATTCTGTTAAATGAACGGAGTGTTAAACTGACTCCTAGTGATTTATTGTTATATCCATAGATTAATTCATCCATCTCTCAACCCTCATCAGAGAAGTTTCTTTTTACAGTAGATGACAATTAACACAGAAATCCAGAACAAGCCAAGGTGCAGAGACTATGAGTCTGTGGAATACGCAAGTCTAAATGGGACATCTTTATTATTTCTTCTCCTTTCTGGGCTCAAGGGTCATCAAGGAAAGGGGGCAGAAAATCTTTAAGAGTCAGAGGTAGTAGATGACTACCAAGAAATTGTGTTTTCTCAATACAGTATTTGTATGTAATGAACTCAACTGTGGTTATGACAGCATGCACAGGACTTTAGCAACATCAAGAAAGACAAAATCTCAGCATGGAGTGGAGAGGTAAACATGAAGTCTACCCCTAGCTAAAGAACTAGTGAAAGTTCATAACTTCTGGGAGAGTCAGCTTTCTTTATATTTGTGATCATTGGTAGAGGATGTTCCAATGGACAGCCATGTACCTAGGAGTGTATAGGCCATAGAAATCAGACTCAGTGAGTTATAAAAAAAAGAGACTAATGTTGGTGTGCATGAAAGGATATACATCTCAGAGGAGTTGGGAGAAGGGTTTTAACAGTTGTGAATATGATCAAATATACTAGATGATATTGTCACAGGATTACTAAAAATATTTTTATGAGAGAGAAAAACCACCATATCTTCATCATTTACCTAAACCAAAAGAAGACTCTGGAATATCATCATCAGTTACAAACTTCAGCTGTGGGTACTGAAATAACATTCTGTGCAATGCAGACTTTCAAACTCTTGGTCTAGGTTAGAAGAGTGGGATGTGAAAGAAGCAAATCAATATTTTCCCCAATTGTATTACTTAAGTTCTTGAGTGACATTTGGAGATTCAAATATTACTTCAATTTTATCAAGATGATCTCAATTTTACGAGCTGGAGAGGTCAAGGACATCACAGAAACTCACAGAATCACCTAATCAGAGCCCATAGGGATTCACAGAAACTGAATCAACAAATACAGGACCCTGTATGAGTCTGAACCAGGTCTTCTGCAGATACCTTATGGTTGTATAGTTTGGTGTTCTTGTGGGACTCCCAACAGGGGGAGTGGTGAGGTCCCTTACTTTTTGCCTGTGCTTAGAACCCTTTTCCCCCTATTGGGTTGCCTCATCCAGCCTTAATATGATATGTGTTATATCTTATTAGGCCATGTTTTATTTATATCCCTGAGTGGCCTGTCCTTTTATGAGGGGAAACTGAGAACTAGTGAATCTGATAGAGAGGGGAGATTGTAGGAGGTGGGGATGGGAGGAGAGGAAGGAGGGGAAACTTCGATCAGGATGTAATACATGAGACAATGAATTTTTTAAAATGATATCAAGTATTTTTAAGCATGATGATATTCTTTCCTGCAACCTCAACTCCCATTTACAATCAGTCTAAAACTGCTCAGTTCTACTGTGACTGGCCAAAAATTAAATACTTTGATTCCTATTCCAAAAGTTCACCTTCATAAAAGTTCACGTTATCTTTATGTGTATGTTTTCCCTCTATAGTTATAATTTAATTTAATAAGCAGCTATTAAGCCTCTACTTAGGTATAATCTATTGCTGGAAGACAGGGAACAAATGGTGCTTTCTATCATAGACTCCTAATTCTCCTGCTTTGTAGTGACCTTCAGTAAAATACATCTTACATATTGTAGAGCACAGGGAATAAAATAATGCTGACTGTAGACTCAGAAGGATCTAGTGTTTGCTTATACCTGAATTTGCCCTAGAAAGTGGTAGTCCTACCCACTTCTCCCATGATTTCTCAATGTTCCTTCAATTTTTAAAAATAAAGAGTGGTGAGACTCAGTAAGTAAAATATTTGCACTTCAAACCTGAAGATGAAAACATATGTACAAGTGGAGAAATGAATCTTGACTCCACAAAAGCGTCCTGAACTTCACACACAACATTCATATGTATCACACAAGGGAAGAGGGAAAGAGGGAGAGAGAGGGCACAGAGACACAGAGAGACACATAAACATCTAGATGCAAATACAGACAGAGAAAGCAAAAGATTTTTTTAAGAAAAGCAGATTATCTCATAGTTACTCTTAGCCTGGATTTTCTTGCTATTTGATCCTATAAAATCAATTTTTTTCTGCAGACAGGTGTCATGCAGGAAAGACCCCTTCATGGACTGCAAGGTGTACCCACATCAGAAATTACTTGATATGCTATCCACCTGCTTTTAATAAGGCTTTCTTTTCTGGTCATGTTTTCCAGATTTATTCATTTGTGATAATGCTATTTTACTACACTTCCCATTTGGTTACGTAGATGACTGATATAAACAGAAATTTCTTTTCAACTCTTTGATTACTTTCAATTTTAATCCATATCAAACAAGATAATCATTTGTATGTCACCTTCCAAAATAAGAAGGTTCCTCAGCATCCTCCAAAGCTGGAAATAAGGGGAGAATTTAATTATCATTAAAGTGATAGACTTAAACATATATTTTAATGTGGTATATTTCAATTGACTACCTATATTATTTTCTTTGACACTGATGGACATTAGCTTATTTTGCCTATTGGTAGTGAATTGTCTTTTGAGTACTTTTACTATGACACTATGAATTTGATTTCTGACACAACAGGATATTCTAGATTTA